CTGTTACCGCATCACAGAAAAACCACTGAAGGTATTTAGAAGAAATTTGGTATGATGATAGCTGGTTATCCAGGTCAACACATAGTATACTTTTTACCGCGGGAAAATGTCTCATTTCTAATAAAAAATACAAAAACTGCAATGTAAGAGTATACTAATATGTAAAACCTAAGAATATGGTTTTTGGTCATCTGAACGCGGGCGGAGTCGCGGGCAATGCTAGTTTTATCATAAATCTGTAAAATTAAGTTAATCCAAAATCGATATTAGTAGTTACTTTTATATAATTACCTATAGGAAACTCGTCATCTTGTGAGTTACTTGAAAAGTACATCAAGGGCTACTTTAGCTGCACCATTGGATTGTTTCATCTTGAATTTCAAGCTCCATATGCTTTCAATTTCTCCGCTTGGTTTATGCAATTTCAGTAGGACCTTTTTACCAGTGGTAAGAAGTCTTTTTTTATATCCGCAAAAAAATAATTCGACTTCAAGACACGCAAAAGTAACTTAGGTACATGTAACTAAAATAAACTTTCTGTTTTAAATAGGTAACTAAACAGATATTTTGGTACCTACGATATCAGAGCGCTAAGCAAATTACTGCATTATATTTTCAATGTTGTTTTGAGATTCTTTAAAGATTATCTATAAGTACATATAATAAAATGTAACTAAGCCGAATCTGTACATTAGATATTTTTTGGAAAATTTTATTGAAATAAACATTATTATCGATACAGCGGCCAAATATATGGTTTTTAGAGTTTTTGTCTGTCTGTCTGTTACCGCATCACAGAAAAACCACCGGAGGGATTTTGATGAAATTTGGTATCGGGGTAGCTAGTTATCCGGGTCGACATATAGGATACTTTTTACCACGGGAAAATATCTCATTTTTGAGAAAAAATACAAAAACTGCAACGCAAGAGTCTACTAATATGTAAAACCTAAGAATTTGGTTTTTGGTCATCTGAACGCGGGCGGAGCCGCAGGTAATGCTAGTTATTAATATAATAATGAATCTATTATCTTTACCTACATATAATAAAATTCTGACTGAGTCGACTCTGTATTTTAAATATTTTTCGGAAAATCTTATTGATATACCTTGTCATTATTATACATAGATACAGAGGCCGAATCTATAGTTTTTACAATTTTTGTCAGTCCGTCTGTCTGTCTATGGCCGCATCACGAGAAAACCACTTGACAGTTTTAGATGAATTATGGTATGATTATAGCTGGTTATCTGAGTCAACTATATGATAGGATAGGATACTTTTTAATACGGGAGAATATTTCATCACAGAAATCTATACTAAACGTTAAAACGTATCTAGAGACGTACCCGAGCGGACCAAGGGTGAGCCGCTAGTTCATTTATAAATTGAAACATCGTTTGTGTCATCTGTTTAAACCTAGTTGTTAACACTGGTAATAAAAATGTGGGCGCTAATTTATTTCGCGCCATTTTTAAAATGAAAATTCTAAATATATTTTTTTCTTTCAGGTTTTCGGTATCGCTACTACTATTATAACATTCATATCTTTATTTCATACTAAGTTTCATTAGAAATCGGTACCTACTTTAATTTTTATAAAAAAAAACTAAATTAGTAACTACATATAAAGTTTTTGTTTTACATAAAAATATAACTAAAAAATATAAACTAAAAGAAAAAGAAGTTAAAGTCTCTGAAATCTAGTGAAAAAGGAAAAAAAGACAAAGCAAAACCTAAGAAAAATAAAAGTGTAAGAATAATAAACAAAATACAAGTATAAGAAAATGTTCATAAAAAGACACACAAAAGAAATATAACTTAGTACTTCAAAGGAAGAACCCGAAAATCTCGTAAATGATGACGAGCGATATGAACCCGGAACATGGAGAAAATCAATGTATATTTTGCTCCAAGTTTGGTCTTGATATAGAATTATGGTCAACATGTGTATTGCGAGTACATATTATTTGCTGGATGGGCACATACTTTACGTTCTGGTAAAAAAGAACCAGATTAAAGAGCAAAATATACATTGATTTTCTCCATGTTCCGGGTTCATATCGCTCGTCATCATTTACGAGATTTTCGGGTTCTTCCTTTGAAGTACTAAGTTATATTTCTTTTGTGTGTCTTTTTATGAACATTTTCTTATACTTGTATTTTGTTTATTATTCTTACACTTTTATTTTTCTTAGGTTTTGCTTTGTCTTTTTTTCCTTTTTCACTAGATTTCAGAGACTTTAACTTCTTTTTCTTTTAGTTTATATTTTTTAGTTTATATTTGTCATGTTTGCTTGTCTAAATAATTGTCTACAATTTAAAAAAATGTAATTTCTCTTAATAATGTGGCTCTCTTACCCCAACACAGTAGCTACATTGTCCCACGGGGTAGGGTAATAGCGCACTAGCACAAGTTTTACTAATTATTATTATATAAGAAACTACAAAATTTAAGTGTGAAATAAACAAATAAAAATATTGCAATACCTATGATCTTTGTATTTACCACGTTGTACTATTTAAAAAATACAAAAGGACAAAATTAAAACTTATAAACCCTTAAAGGTGGCGCAGTTCCCTTAGGCCCTATATTCCTCTATGCGCCTTGAGTGGTATATTCTAAACGCCTAAAGGTGCAAAGTGTTTATATTGCGTACCATTTCTACCACGAGCAGTAACCAGCGTTTTGGGGTCATTGATGACTCGATTTTTCTGTCGCTTTAAAAATATCCATTAATACTCCAATAAACATGTTTCATCACAATATCATCAACCTGCATTCAACGATCCAAAAAACTTTCCCGAAAAAATGCCAGTGGATGTAATGATGAATACGGTTCATCAGAAGGAAATAAAAATAATCGGCAAACCGTCATGTATAATATCTTTAATTATTTTCTGTGCCACACATGACTCGCCTTTACGAGGTGAAGAGATCAAGGCGTTTTTTAAAAAACCTGCTGAACCTAAGAATTGTATGTAGTGGTTTAGCTTTGAAACAGCATATTGAAAAAAGTAAAATGCCATATATACGTCTCCACGAATTCAAACGATTAGTTCAGTAACCACCATGCAGTGGATGAGAGAGGAGAAAATTTCAAATCGCTCCTAAAGGTCCGTTTCTTAATTTAATTCCAAATCGATTGTTCTATAGGTGGTTACTTTTATGGGCATTGGTAGCGTGTGTAAAAAAAGACCTACAAAAATAACCAGTACTCCACAGAACGTCAAAATGGTGCGGAAGGCGGTTTGAATTTCCCTAAGCGATATACGCAAATGTAAACATGCAGCTACTTTTCGACTTCCCTGGCGGTGGTGTAAAAACTTAACCCACGCGATTTTCTTACACGGAAACGTGAGCTTTTATTGACAATTCGTCGCACGATACTCTTGTTCTTCAGGCACATTTTCATCTGTCGAGATACTTGAATAAACCAAAATTGCGATATTGAAGTGACACAAATCCCCGAAAACTTCATGAGCGACACCCAAATGCAAAACGACTGTATGGTGCGCGTTATCCAGAATCATTATTAGACCATTGGTTTTTTTTGGAAGTGGATAATAAGGCGGTTACAGTCACTACAAAACATTATTTTAAGATGGTGAAAGAATTTTTCTTTCTGAACTTGAAGAAATGGAAATGGTCACCTTCTAGATATCATTTTCAAAAAGTAATAAAAATACTTATATATACCGCTATTAAAGAAATATATTGAAACGATATATCCAATACTTTATGTTGTATATTTTTTTACTAAGGGAATTCCCGTGCCACAACCTGTATAAAGAAGAAATAATCAACGTTCTTCTGCCTCTCAAAGAGTTACAGAAAATATTGGCGTCACTGAAAACCCTTTCATAATATCATATTCACCTAAAAAGGAGTTAGACTTAGTTTCTAAATTATTATAAATAAAGCAAAAAATTACTGATCAACATTTTATTAAGTGAAGAGTACAATATACAAAAAAATAGAAGCGAAATAAATAATATACAAAAAATTCAACTTTACTAGCTTTTTGATAATAACAAACTCCACTACTAACTTTTATATTTAAATGCAAAACAAATTCGTTGATCACACAATCATATCAAGATGTTGCTGAATGTTGGAAAATGCCAGTACATATAGTATAATGTGTAGAATCACAGTCTACTTATCCATACAGTGGTTTAACGAAGGCATTTAGTTAGTGTCGTGCGAAGTGAAAGAGATTCGGTTGAAACCATAGACATATAGAGTGAACTGAGTGCCTCTTTGCCAGCCGTCGGCTAAAAATGGCGGAAAAGCAACAGATAAATGAATATACAACCAGAAGTCTTCTGTATTAATTGAAATACGAAAAGAAGATAGGTATTTTTAACCATGTGACATTCCATTATAATATTACATTTTTTTGCAATTCCATTTATAAATTCAAATTAGAGTACAAGACATGTATTGGCCGTAAGTTCGCTTTCTCTCTTTCTAGAGTGGACAATTTCATTCCATTCTCTGCGTCTATGGTTGAAACGCACCCGACTGTCATACTTACTTTTACATGGCAAGTGGGGAAAAAAACTTAGGGTTGTCGAGTATAACTGTAATTGCTTGAATCGAAACCGCTATGAAAATTGATATTTGACAACCCTTGCATTTTAAACAAAACAATTTTTCTTAAACTATATTAATCAGTAATCTTACTTAGTGTTGCTATTATTATATTTATGAACATAGAGAAAATTAAAAATTTAAAATATTAATTATTCAAGCAATATCATTGATCTATATGGAATTTTAAAATGTTAAAAAATTAAGAAAAATCGGAAACAAAAAAATCAAAATGAATCCGCGAAAAAATTAAAAAAGATACGTTTTATTTAAAATAATCAAATATTCAGCGTAAATCTAAAATAGTAACAAGCTAAAATAATTGGGCGGATGGACTACTGTATGGATTATTATACTGCGGGAGTATGTTTTAGGGTGTTTAGGATACATTTGGGATATTTAGGGGGTGCAACGATCAAGGAATCGTGGATAGAGACAGACTTCACGAATGTGGTAGCGGTCCAGCAGCCAGCAAAGAAAACGTTCCAGTCCTAACCCATAGCCACCATGTGGCACAGATCCGAAACGACGCTGGTCGGTATACCAGTAGTAGGGTGTAGGATCGATGTTCTCCCGTTTATAGCCTGAAAATATTATATGTGTTTCTTTATTGATCGAGCAAGCGAAGCGTCTTTGCTTCAAGTCTGGCAAAATTTGTTGTCTGTCAATTTGTTGGTGCTTCACTACAGGTCGTATTTTAAAACCGATTTGGACGAAACTCTGTGTACAGGTTTTACGACCTTGTAGATTTTTTGTCGTCGGAGATTTTTGATTGGATTCCTCCAAAAAGTGGGCTACTGGATATCTCCGCCTTAAGAGATCCGGATTCGATGGTTCTTTTTCTATTTGAAAGGCTTTAAGACTTTAAGTTGGTCTCATAAAAATTTGATGAAGATCTGATGGGGATTCTCGGCGTGATGAACAGAATAGCTCTAAAGACAAAGCTTCAGACAATCGTGCAACGATAGGAACATTACTAAATAAGGCGGTGTTGTCTGCATTTAGCTTGAGAGAGTCTTAACAATATTGTTAGTCTAATACTTGCTATGAACGACTGCAAATCCAGAAGTCCTGGGTTCGAGTCCCGAGCAGGTCGGGCCTACTAATTTAGTGAGTAACCGAAGTTGAGCAACCGACGGACGATGCTTCGGAGAGCACGTAAAGACATCGTTCTTGAACCTTAACTAACTTATCATATCATCGAACTTTGACAATAAACTTGTACCCTACAATATCTCCTACAGCTGACTAGTCTCAGTGAGATTGGCCACCATGTCTACCGGTCACCGGACATTACTATGTAAACTCGGACCAACTCACCTTCCATCAGCTCTTCATGATCCCACATCCTCATGGAGCCACCAACAATCTCCCCAACACCTGGCATCAACAGATCGACAGACTCGGTCAGCCTCTTATCCTCAGGACAACGGTACATGTAGAACGACTTGATCTCAGCTGGGAACTTGCATAGAAGTATCGGCACACCGATGGCATCGGTCATCTTACGTTCAGGACCTTCTGGTATATCCTGGGATACAAACGGATTATTGACGACACGTTTGGCTCAGTTAATAGTGATCATATTTGATGTGCCAGCGGTCTCGGATTCGAGTCCCGCTGGGGGACATTACATATATGTGAAATGTATCAGCTATCTTGTATCAATAACACAAGCCTCGTAGCTTATCATGGAACTAGATGGTGCGGTGTGTTAATGTCCCAACATATTTATTAAAATTGTGATTTGTATGTGTGTTTGTGTGTGTGTGTTTATAAGTCCTCTGTAACATTTGAACGGATTTAGATGAAATTTTATGTGCACATGGAATATAATATACTTATATGGAGTACCACATGGGCTACTTAAGGCTTATAGGGATACCCGAGAGAAGTGAGGGTAAGTCCCTAGTAATTATTACATATTTCAAATCACTGAAGCTTAAAGCTACTTAAAGCTTTCAAACAAGGCTCCTTAAAACGGAGGCCTGTATTTACCATTTCACTTTGATGTATAACGACGAATCCTTAAATAAGTTTATTCAAATCAAACTAATACTTTCTAAGATTTACAGTAATATTTGACATTATATTTAGTTTCAAATGCAATACAGCAAAATATTCGAAACTTAAGTTTCTCCCGGCTCTCTATTTAAAACTAGTGACTCACTCTCGCTTCGCTCTATATAATATTCGTCCCCTAGATAAGTTTACGGTTAGTATGGAATAGGTTGACTATAATATATTATATGATATATAGCCTTCCTCGATAAACGGGCTATCTAATGCAAAAATAATTTTTCATATCGAATTAGTCCTTCCGGAGATTAGCGCGTTCAAACAAACAAAGAAACAAACTCTGCCTTTTTTACAATATTATTATAGGTTACTTATTTATCTATACTTATACTTATACTTACTAATATATAAAGCTGTAGTTTGTTTGAATGAGCTAATCTCTGGATCTACTAGTCCAATAACTTGTTTTTGCGTTTTATAACTCATTTTATAACATCGAAGTAACTCTATAATATAAAAAATACTGTAATTTAAACGTATCGACATAGATCTTACCTCACCAAACTCATAGAAACTGCCATCATCCTTCGTAATGTTATTGGCCCGTAAGTACTCGATGGCTTCGGTGTATGGCATACGTTTGAATGGTTTCTCTGGTTTCTGAAAAAGAACAATAATTAAACTTATTTATTTCTATATTTTATACATAGATAATATTATTTATATATTATACATCAATAAATTTTAACGGTTAGTATAGATTTTTCAAAAACATTTTCCCACAATAAAAAGTATCATAAATATTGACCCGGATAACCAGCTATCAATATACCAAATTTCATGAAATTCTGTCCAGTGGTTTTCTCGTGATGCGGTCACAGACAGACACAGAAGAGAATTCTCAAAACGATAGATTCGATCTTTTTATCGATATTAATGACTATTTCAAACAGATTTTCCAAAAAAAAATAATAATAAACAGATTAGACTCTGTTAGAATTTTATTATATGTATAGATTGATTTCGTTTTAAAAATTTTAATAACACCCTCTATACATCGGCAGATAACCATAAAATTGCCAAAAAAAACTGATTTCAAAAACATTGTTTACACATTTACTCATATTTTGTATGGTAATATAAATAGTTTATAAACCTTAAACTTGGGGTTCAGTTCATATATGAGATGTCCATCTGGAGAGGCCAGCACTCGGTCCACTACATCCACCACCAGATCCTCGATCCTGTCCAGCAAGTCTTCGAAGCTGATGAAGGGGCATTCAGCTTCTACGTGGCTGTATCTGTTTACAAAGAGATACAATGATTGAGATAAAGAGATACAATAACTGATTGAATATCATTATGAGATCAATCCGTTATCTAGTACTTTTTTATTCTTTTTTTCCAATGAGCCGGCGGCCGCGGGTTCATTTGTGTGACGAACACGAATGTTTGTACTTCAGTCATGGGTGTTTATATTTATAATATGTATATATGTAAAGATACATATGTGTAGTGTATCAACTATCTGGTATCCATAACACAGGCCTTGTAGCTTACCATGGAACTAGATGGTGCTGTGTGTTAATGTCCCAACATATTTATTTATTGTTAGCCTAACTTACTAACAACTTTGTGTTCAAACTGCATTCCTATTATCTTTGTACCGCTGTAATATTACCAAATAATTAAGTATTGTAGATATTATGTATTCAGCCCTTTTTAACGTCCCATAGCTGGGCACGGGCCTCCCTTCATTACGAGGGGGATCAGACCATAGTCCAACACACTGGACGGACTGATCCTGTCTTTCGAAAACTTGCTAGGCTCTCTCAGACATGTAGGTTTCCTTCACCGTAAGGCAAGTGGTGATCATGTCAGAAATGAGTCATGTCAGAAATGAGAGGGATTTGAACCCGCTTCACTCGGTTTCCCAAGCAAGCGCGATACCACTGGGTTACTACTGCCTTGTAGATTTTATTGATACTAGCGACGCACCCTCGCTTCTCTTGGGTTCGCCATTTTCACCCCTTAAAACATGATTTCCGGGATAAAAAGTATCGAGGATCTAGAACTAAGGATCCTATGTCCTTCCCACGTTTAGTAGATCCAGAGATTACCCCTTACAACGTCACAAACTCACAAACTTTATCTCTTTATAATATTAGTATAGATTAAAGACAAATGAACACTCACTCGGCGAGATGTCGCCGTGTGCGCGACTGCTCCGCCCTGTAGGACTGCGCGATGCAGTACACGTCGCCCAGCGCCGCCAGGCACGTCTCCAGGTACAGCTGCGAGCTCTGCGTCAGGTACGCCTCCTGCCTAATGATACACATATCATCGACTTAAAGCTTTATTTCTAAGATTTGTATGTATACTACGTTACGATTTAACGTTTAGTATAGATTTCTCAGAGAGGAGACATTTTGCATAATGCGTTTACAGACAGACAGAATTTCTAAAAACTATAGATTCGACCTCTGTATCCATAATAATGACAATTCCAATAAGATTTTCCAAATAATATTTAATGTACAGATTATTATATGTATAGAATATAGATAGTTCAGTGGCGAAGGGGGAAATTTTAGCAGAGGTAAGCTGTTCCAAAAATATACCATTTTTATATACGTATTAATGCAGAAAATAATAAATCTATTTTATATAATATATATACATGTATGTATATATATATTATAATATATATATATATACATATATATATATTATCACAAATTTATACAAGACGTTTTACCTTAAAATGTATTTTGCTATAATTTTACAAACATTTAATTTAATTATAATAAGTTCTTTATTTCCAAAAGCCAGTTATATGCTTAACACTTACTAAATCTAATTTGGTACATACAAATATTTAAAACATAGCATTTGCAGCCAAACCAGGAGACCTGTGCATCAGCTGTCAGCGCCAGATCCCCACGGTTAGGTTACATAAATATTACCAAAAAAATAATGAATTAAATATCAACTAAAGATAATAATTAATATTACTAAAAATGTCAGATAAACGGAACGGCTTAACTCTGCTAAAATTTCATCCTTCGCCACTGGAACTTACCCGAAATAATCAAACTTGAACAGCGTAGAACCTCCCTCGCACTGCGTCTGCACTAGCGTTGGAGGGGTGACCTCAGTATAGAGGCGGTCCTCAAAATGCTCCCTGAAGGCGCGCGTGACCGCCGCTCGAGCTCGCAACACTTTGGTAGTGTTCTCACCTCGGAGCATTATATGCCTGTTGGTAGAGACTTGTGAATGCTATACATAATTTTAAGACTAGCGATTTACCTTCGTTTCGCTCGAGTGCGTCCCTAGATACATTTTAAATAGATAAAAACCTTCTAAGTGCGAGTAGGACTCGCGCACGAAGGGTTACGTACCATTATCTATCCCAATTCCCAAAATAAATATCCCAAAAGGCCTCCCTTACATATTTGTTTTATTTTAATTTAACTATTTATTTTTAAAGTAAATAAATAACTTAATATTCTGTGAATATTTCAAGCGTCTACCTGTTGCCGTTATCAATATCGAGCAAAACCGAGCAAAGAAATCACGTTTGTTGTATGGGAGCCCCCTTAAATATTATTTTGTTTTTTAGTATTCGTTGGTATAGCGGCAACAGAAATACATCATCTGTGAAAATTTCAACTAACTATCACGGTTCATGAGATACAGCCTGGTGACAGACGGACAGACAAACGGACGGACAGCAGAGTCTTAGTAATAGGGTCCCGTTTTACCCTTTGGGTGTAGAACCTTAAAAAATTAGTTATCATGAGTGTACTTAGCGATAAAATGTAGTCTATGTCCTTGTACAAGGACCCATTTATCTCTATACCAAAATACATCAAAATTGGTTCAGCGGTTTAGGCGTGATAGGATTAGGAGGATCAGACCATAGACCACCACACTGGACAAGTGCTGAGCGAACTTCACATGTCTTTGCTAAAATCTTCACAATGGGTTTCTTCACTGTAAGACAAGTGGTAATCATGTTGGAAATGATTCGTACAGTGAAAATATCCCCTAGGAATTTGGATTTTTATCTAGGGATTTGAACCCACTTCACTCGGTTTCCCAAGTGAACGAAAAATATTAATCTGAATACCTGTTATCCAATTGAACATCGGGCAGGGCATCTTCATTGAGCAATGCATCGGCACCGCCCGGGGGAGCCAACCCTATAACCTCCCAGTAGTCAGCTGTCAGTTCATGACCACCAGGTGCCTGTGAATACAATCAAAATAAGTCAAAACAATTATTTTTTTTATTATGTAATATGTACCATCAAATATGTTGTACAAAATAAACAGAAAGCGGACAACGGATAACTTATCTCTTAAAGAGATTTCTTCGAGATATCATTAAATGTGAGAAAATAAGTTCATTTATGTTAAATTCCTCCCGGTCCTCAGTCACTGTGGCCGAGTTCCATAATTCATGTCATACATAAAATATATCAAACAACAACAACTTTGACACCCAAAAAATAAAAAAAATACTACAAACTAAAAACAAACATCACATAATTTGTTTTTGAGAACCTATTTATAGGTAAATATAAAAATTCTGAGAAGTGCGGGAAATTTTCCCGTGGATCTACAGATCCCATGGATGCACGGGTCAGCTACGGGAAAGCTTCCCGTTAACCCTTTGATCGGGCGAATAGTCACTTCAAATATTAAAATAAATTAACCAAAAATCCTTCTATCTATTATTTTTTATCTACAGACTAGCGAATTACCCTCGCTTCGCTCGTACTTCACCTATGGTGCCTAACATGGGCTTATACATTATTCCAGGTCTAACCTAGTCTTTCTGTATAATAAACATTCAAATCCGTTAGCCGTTTCAACGTGAAGGATAAACAAACATACAATTATAACCCACAGGGAATATACATTTGCTAAGAAAGGATTTTTGGAAATTCAATCCCTAAAGGAGTTGGAAAGAATTTATTTAAATTCGATAATGTCTAGAAAAATCAACCATATTTGAGAAATTCTTATTGCATTTTGTTGTCTATTCGAGGAAGTTTACATAAAACATCTTTCGATCCATAAGAGCGAAGCAATCTATACATATAATAAAATTCTAACTAAACCGAATCAATCCATTAAATATTTTTTGGAAAATCTTATTCAAATAGACATTATTAACGATACAGAGGCCGAATCTACAGTTTTCAGATTTTTTGTCTGTCTATCTGGTTACCGCATCACAGAAAAACCACTGGAGGGATTTTGATGAAATTTGGTCTGTTGATAGCTGATTATTCGGGTCAACATATAGGATACTTTTTACCGCGGGAATATGTCTCATTTCTGAGAAAAAATACAGAAACTGCAATGAAAGAGTATAATATGTAAAACCTAAGAATTTGGTTTTTCGTCATCGGAACGCGGGCGGAGCCGCGCGCAATGCTAGTTACCTATAAATTACGTACGCGAGCGGCGCCTTTCATATGTGACGAGATATATATATACAACACCTTATAACTCCTATACAAATATAATGCCTACTAACTCCTGCGCAGTCGGCTAGTCTTAGTGTGATTGGCCATCATGGCCGAAGTCAGACAGGATATTATTAATATTATATGAAAAAGATTGCCAAATCCATACTTACAGTCTTCCCTTCAGGTACAACTTCGAGCTGCCCATACACTGCAACAGAGGACTCGGTGGAGAGAATCATGGCAGAATAAGTTTGGCAGAGCTTGCCGTGGAGTACACATTGCAAGTAGCCTGTTCCATCACGCAGCGTGAGGAAGGCTAGGACCTTGCCCTGGCGACGCAGCCGATGCACCCACCCACGCACACAGATCCTCTCACCACGATGTTCTCCAGCTTATGAAAGAGAAAGAAATCTATACATATCTACCTACTATTTTATATATGAAAAAGTTTGTATCTGTATGATTGTTACTCCTCCATTACTATTATGGCTGGACAGATCTATATGAAACTAGCGTCGTAACCTCGCTTCGCTCGGGTGCGTCCCCAAGCTTTAATGGTTTAAGAACACATAAAAGACAAGCATCAGGAACCTTCGCAGGTGTGTATATTGATCAATGGGTTAGAAGTGCATATAGGATAAACATATGTACTTTCTTTTTTATTTATATGATTTAATCACAGAATAATATACTAGTAACTCAACTTCGTCCCTCAGTATGTTTAAACTGTTAGTATGGATTAGATAGACTAAATAGGTATGATGAGTTGTTGTGGGTTGTATTATATCATGTTTTCCCATGGGAATGAAATAATCTCCTGCAGTAACAAGTAGCCTATGTCACTATCCAGCCTTCCAACTATTTCCACAAAAAAATTACACCAATCTGTCGCTCTGTTTCAACGTGAAGGAAGGACAAACAAACAAACACACTTTCACATTTATAATATTAGTACGGAAAATATAGAAGATTTAGTAGACAAAAGACCTGGAGCATAAATGCTACTGTTACGAGTAGGTACAGAAAGCTAGGGTAAGTTTATAAATGTAAATGTAGTTAATAACCTGTTGGAGACATACTTTGAGTTCAGTAAAACGAGTGCAAGCATCAGAAAAAAAATAGTAATATTATGATTACTAAACATTGGAAATCTATGAAAACCTTAATAGACAAGTAAAGTTAAAGTAAAAAAAAATTTTAGATTTAATATTAAATTTTAGTATTTGTTAAGATGTATTGTGCAGATGTCCTTGACTAACACAAAAGATATTTTATATTCTTTAATATATTACATTCTCATTAACACCTTACATGACCTAAATGTTAAGTTACCAACATTCAGTTTTAACTTATCAACTGTCGAAAACACAAGAAACAATCATTATATATATTTTTTTAATGTAAAAGTGCATCATGATGCAATATACACACTGCATTGCAGCATCACTATTGATTCAAATAAAAACTAGTTATTGTGTTAATTTATCTTATGCTGTTTTATTAAGTCATTTCTGTTATTTTATTTTTTATAACTAGACTTTTAGGTATAGATTTATTGAAAAGATATGTAAAAAATTATATTCTCTATTTTTATAAGTAAATTTATATATATTTTTTATTAAAAAAATTGACAAATATTGTCATAATAAGTTACCTTTAATTATTTTCACAACTTTGGCTTTTGGAAGTGTAGGGTCCTCTTCAATAATTATTTTCTTTGCTTCTTCTATGTTCTGTTGTCTCTTTTCCAAGTTTTCATCTTCAACTTTAGCTTTCTCTGCAGCTTTATGAACCTCACGTACCCAGATCTTTTGAAATTTTTTTAACTGAGATTTCGCGACTACATCAAAATCTTTTCCTTCTTCTTTAGAATCCACATATATTGTGGGGAACGGTTCTTTGCCGGAGTGACGCATGGCTTGTAAAATTGTCTTAAAAGGGTTTTCAGCGGATCCGTCTCCATTTTCATCACTGCCCTTTTTCTCAGATGTATATATTTCTCCTATAATACAATACAACATTAAGGTATTAGATTTTTTCTTAAAGAATATATTTTTTAAGAAACCTATGATATAAGGTTATTAATTCGAAAGAACACCTGTACATACCTATCGTCAATTTGTCAATTTCAGCCATGGTTATTAGTAAAAATAAACAATTATATTATACTTAGCAATATAAGTAGTTCTAAGATTAATTTATTTATCCAGCTTGAGGCTTCAGCATAGAGTATATTGCTACATGGGCTTCAGCGACAGCGACACGCTGGCCAGTGTTAACTTGTGACAACTGACAAGTGACAACTGACTACTGACAATTGACAACAGTCAACACTCAACACTTAAATTATTATTGCCTGATTATAAAATTTAAAATATTATACATTATTTGAAGTTTTTAAAAAGTAAAAATAATAATATCTGATACTTATCTGAGAACGAAAAACATTTTTCCTACACCCAAAGTTGCCTGTAAGAAATCGCTGTTTTAGCGTCTAGCGATAAGGCCTCCTCTTGTGCATTTACCTAACATTATATTTTTTTTTCTTCTTCTTCTTTTGTGTATACATTAAAGAGGTTTTATTGAAGTAAGGCGTGACTAAGAGTGAGAGGTAAGTCAATACATTAGAAAAATGAGTGTCGCAGAAGTGAGAGTCAAATTTATTATTAATAATTTAAAAATATATACCTATTATATTTATATTTTTATACTTACCTATTATTATTTAAAAATATATATATTTATTATTAATATTTTTTTATTTATAAAAATGATAATTTATTACCGATAATTTTAATTCAATTTTTTATTATTATCTCTTTGGATTTCTCGGACTCGAAGGAGCTCAATTCTTTGGAAGGCTTGCGTGATGGACCTGTGTCGAACACGTGAAGGCCCCCTAAGGGATTCAAGTTTGTTTAACAAACAACAACACGTGTGTGGTGTGATAAACCCTAGCCTTCGAAAAATTAAAATTATATGATAAACTAGCATTGCCCGTGGCTCCGCCCGCGTTCAGATGACCAAAATCAAATTCTTAGGTTTAAAATATTCGTATACTCTTACATTGCAGTTTTTGTATTTTTTTCTCAAAATGAGATATTTTCCCGCGGTAAAAAGTACCTATCCTATATGTTGATCCGGATAACCAGCTATCAATCACCATACCAAATTTCATAAAAATCCCTCCAGTGGCTTTTCTGTGTTGCGGTAACAGACAGACAGACAAAAATTCAAAAAACCATAGTTTCGGCCTGTGTATCGATAATAATGTTTATTTTAATAAGATTTTCCAAAAACTATTCAATGTACAGATTCGGCTCAGTTACAATTTCACGATATGTGGACGTTCGTGTTTTAAATAGCTGCAAATAACATTATACTAACTAAAAGAAACAAGACACCGCTGCATTAAATCTAAGACACAGGTATATTTGGAACATACTGATTTATTTTGATACATTGCAGTAGATTTGAAGTAATTGATTTCAAAAATGTTTCCACTTTTATATATCTAAATTATTGTTAATTCATGTAATTAACTATTAAACTTACCTGAGTTAAATACTATATTTTGAAGATATGAAGTAAAGAATAATTTCATTATTTTAGGAAAAGTCACCTTGCACATGGACGTTTATGAGACGCATCAGCCGGGATCCATCTCTGAGTATCCCATAGAGAATTGCTCAGAGATGGTATCCGAATAATGGTTTCTATCTTTAGAAAATTAAAATATTTTAGTACGAAAGGATCAAGTATTTTAAATAATTTAATATAAATGAATATTATTAAAATTATTTAACTATTTTGGCAGAAAAATGTAATGGTTTTAGAAGTCATAAATATATAAATAATTGATGATGATGTTCTCCCGACCGATTCCGGCCACGGCGGCCAATCTCATTGAGACTATCCAACTGCGCAAGAGATATTATAGTGCACAAGTGTACGCGCAGACACAGGTGCACTCTCTATTCCTGTCACTCTCATATTCTGGTGGGACGACCACTCGACACGACCAGTGAGAGTTAAGGCGCAGGACCGACGGCTTTACGTGCTCTCCGAGGCACGGGGGTGAAACACCGCCAACTTCCCAACTCCGGGCTGTTACTGAGGCTTACTATATAGAAAGACTCAATAACTAAATTTGGCCCGACCCGGGACTCGAACCCAGGACCTCCGGGTGTGCAGCCGTACTTGCTAGCCACTACACCACCGAGGCAGTAAATATATAATTATCTAATACAGCGTAGGAACTATGGAAAATATGGAAAACTAAAAGGATATATGGAATAGAATTTGGATGGGCTACCAAACTTGGCTATTGGATGAGATTACCGGACGTCCGCTTTCTCAACAGTCTCTATTATTATTACAAATAATTACTCGTATAATTTTAAACAGAAAAAATTTGAAAGTTTAAAGGCGAGGAAATCCGTTATAATCCAATCAATACTTCATTCAGGACTGACATGGGCATTGGGCAAAGCTACATCATTTTTAGTTAGAAAGAGATTTTAAATTGAAATGGTGCATTTACGAGTATGTACATATATAAGTCAAATGAAAGAAATTTTACGTTGTTGATGGTTGATATTGTAGTTACAATTAAAGTGTGTTCAGTGTTAAATCTGGATCCTTCAAAACATTAAGTGTTGTATCAGGATTCAGGAGGAGAGCGAAACGTGCTTTACTTATGATTGATTTCTAATTGGTCTACTTTAGTTGACGTATTCTACGGAGATCCTGGGTTCGAGTCTCGGGTCGGGAAAAGTTGTATAGAGCTAATGAATTATAAATAATATGAGTGAATGAATGAATAAACTGGTGTTACACTTGGTATCGAAGTAAGGTTTGAAGATAATGAATTATTATTCAACTAATGTATTGGATAACATTTTCTTAATAGTTCTCTAAGCGATATGTGAAAATCAGTACTGGAAGTACTGATTTTCACATATCGCTTAAAAATACACCATAATTAAAAATACAAAATTATTTTTATTTAGATTTATTAGTTTTGCCAAATGCATTTCTGTTGATGATATTTCGAGGATCAGCCCACTCAGATGAGAGACCTGAGAGATCCAATACCCTTGCTTACACTTGCAATTTTTTCAATTCAACTATACAAATTCAGTATACGAGTATACCTGAGATACTGAAATATTTTTTTTAATTTTACATTAAAATGATTATATTATATACCTAACTACGTAATACAAATGTAAAAGCAAAGCAATAAAATATTATGCGTAAGCTACATTAAACATTAAAGCTAGACACTAATTAAATCTATAGTAGGTATTATTTGGAAAAGCTATTAATTATAATACATCAAGGGGAGAATGTCAAGAAATAATAACTTATTTTGTTGCCTTTTAAAAAAAACAATAATTAAGTACTGTCCATAATATGTAAGTAGGTGGTAGGGTAGTATAGGGGTAAAATACGTCTAAGAGAATAAAAGATGAAAAAAATCAATTTAATATTAACTTGACTTGAGTTATCATAACATATATCAATAAAAATATAAGCAATATAAATAAGAAAGTATTATAAAAATATAAGCATAATAAGCATATATAAAGCAGTCATGAGGACTGACGACAGAACTGTAAGCAAACAGTTGTTATATTTGGATATTCCAATTAATTGTTTGATCTTAAATTAAAACTATTTACATTTATCTGGTTTCGACATCTGTCGGCACTCTGAGTGTTAGCGTTAACACGTCACGTGATGTCTGTCGATGAATGTCGATGACAACGTATATTATGAATTTACTCCTCATCCAAACCTGCCTATAGAAGTTTTCACCTCAAAAATATCCTGTAAATTAATTAAAGAAAAGCATTCAAACAGAAAAATACCTCAGAATTTATACTGTTGCACGCTTCCACAAACGCTATTAACAAGCACAAGACACACCATACATTTTGCAGTAAGATATACAGTACTAAAATACAAAATGTGAGCTGTTCAAAACTTAGATAAAAATAAAATTAATGCAAAATTTACTAACTAGAAATATTTACTTGGTAAATCGGACATTGTCATAATTCCGTAATACAATGTAGTTATTAATGTTATGATGAAGTTAGTATAAATTAAAAGAACGATACAGCCGTCTGTTGCACTCATCTCCGAAATAATATCACTCACTGTAACGTAGCCGTAGACGAGAGGGCGTATATTCGGGCAATTCAAAGTCCTTAGATATTGATTTTCTGAAACAGAAGGATAAAGAACTATTTGCAAACATTCCTTACCATTACTAATATCTTACATGATTGTACGCAGAACCAACTTCGGTGATATTGGGGATACTAATGTTTGACAGGTACCGATATCTGCAGATAGGTATAAGCTAAGTGATGCACCGAAATAGATTTGTTTTATTGTCATAGGCTATGTGCGTGCCAAAGATAGATGAATTTACGATAAAATATATACATTTGAACTATTTTTACTCAGTGAAAAAGTCCATACTCGATTCGGTCTCGGCGAGACTGCATAATATAGGATATAAGTATTCGTAAAAGAGCACAACTTTAAGCGCAGACACAAGTGCTCTCTTGCACAGTTTACATGCTTTCCGAGACACACGGGTGTTACACCGGCAACTCTCCTTGTACCCATAGGCTGCTATTAAAACTTTTCCTGTCATAAAAAATGCAATAGCTGTTTTTGCTCAATCCGGGACTTGAACCCAGGACTTCAGCGTCTGTAGATGCACAGCTGTTGAGAGAAAGTAGATACAACCAGAAAAGAAACGTTAGGTGTACGAGTATAAAAAAAAATTGAATTAGTATAATTAGTACATAGTTAAATATATAAATTACCATTGGAAATTATAGATAGTATCTCATCCATTTTATCATTGATTGATTTAAGAGTAGTATGAGCTTTTAGGAGCAACAATATAATTTGTACCTCCAATAAATTCATATTAATATATACAATCGTACATAGACCATAATTTGTTACTATAAATGCTAAAAAATAAGAAAGTACAGAATGAATTACCATGCAATTGCTAAATTATAATTTAAAAGTTGGTAATACGTGACACATTTCTGTTGCAAATATCTATTTAAAATTTTGCCTAATCGAAATTTGAGCTGGGTTTT